AGGGGAAGGATCAAAATGTTTTTCTCAGCTTTGATTGATTTTTTTTTGCGAGTAGAATACATGCTATTTGATGAGAAAATTCACCTTGAAACAGTGTGCAGAATTACTCCTAGTTGTCAACATTCATAAATATGAAAAGTGAAAGTGGTGATGTCATGAAAAGGACAAATTAACATCTTGCAGGTTGTGTTTATTCGACCAAAATGTCCGACAGTATAGCTGCACTTTAAACCTATTATCATGCATTAATGTTGGAGGTTTATAACACTTTTCACCTCAGCTAAAGTGGATACACAACTTTTATTCCAGTCCAATCTCTTCCTCTCCCACTCTCTCTCTCTCTCTCTCTCTCCCTCGCTGTGTTGCATGTGTCGGTTGCCTATCAATTAAGGGGTTATACAATAATCCAGCTCTCATTCAGGACAGGATTAGACTGTTTAATGGGTCTGACTTTGAAAGGAGGATTGCTGCAAACCAAAAATACAGAATATCTGTCATCTCTTCTCTTCTTATCAGTGGGGCATAGTGACATTTCTAAAGACACATCTGGCCTGGATTTGAAGTAGTTACATATTGACTGAAGAGGCTTTCTAAAGCGTGAGCAAACTGAATACACTGTGGTGGTATCCTGAGACGTTTGGCGTTAAACGAGCCGTGCACTGTCAACAGTTTCGAGGTACGTCCCCCGAGAGCCACAAGTCTAGTCTTGAATCTAAGTGATCGCAATTGACTTTTGTCTTGACAGTGCTGTCAGAGCAACAGGAAAACATGGATACTTAAAAGTCATTGATTAAGCGTAGTACAAGTATGTCAGCCATTCAAGACGAAACCACACATATTAATAGATTAGTAAGCACAATAAGAATGACGTTTTTAGTTTATAAAAAAATAGAAAAAAAACATGCAGTTGTTGAGACTGTTTCTACCTTTATGTGCCTCACTTTCAAATATTTTTTGAGAGTTAAACCCTATGCTAGAGAGTCCTCCCTGGCCTAATAAAGTTTCAGAAGTGCAGTAATGCTTTATCCCGGAGGGCATTCAAGTTCCAGCGTCAACCCAACCCGTTTTAACAGTCAAAAGCACATGACTCACAACCTTTATGTGGCTGAATCAAAGTCAGCCAGTGTCTATTGATACTCTGAGTTGCGAAAAAGGTGTGAGTGCTTCTGAGAGCTTCAACGGAGGCCACCTGGATAACAGCCCCTGAGGTGTCTGGGAAGGCTGTAAATATAAATGACAGTTACCACCCCCCTCCAGGGCTTCTTCAGCCAAGCAGGCTTCACTTCTCTTCTTCACCTCTCTTCAAAGAGAAAAATCCTGCTCAGAGCAAGGGCAAAGTATTGCTGGCAAGAAAGTTTTTTTCTTTTTTTAGAAATCACACTACACTGTATGTAACGCTGGATTTAGGCTTTTAAAAGTATATATGTTATTTCATCAGATCACAGGTTATCAAGACAGGCGTGTCTCTCCGCAGAGTGAAACATCTTTCGTCTGGTGTCGCTGATCATTAAACGTTGTTCCTTGTGATGACTCGTTTTACTAGGCGAAGCGGGGAATCCCGACACAGCCATGTGAGTAAGGCTGATGAATCTCAGACCCACATATCTATAAACTCCCACCATGCTTAATGCCGTCACCTCACACTCATCCACTTCCTGTTTCTCATTCCCTCTGCTGTGCAATGCAGGAGATAGCGGCGTCGGGTTGTGATGTGTTGGCAAAAAGGAGCTTCTGCTTGTGATCAGTGTTGTTGAAACAGCATCAAACCACTGATGATTACTTGATTTAATTTAATCTGACTGCCTCGCCAGCGAGCCAGGATTTTCAGCTTTTCACACTCAGTAATTGAGCTGATGTTAAGTGTCTTTGTGGAACCGAGCGGTGTTACAGACATAAAGTCGAAACGACAGAACAATGAAGCCTCCTCTGCACGTAAAAGGCTGATTCAGGTTCAGAGGGGAAACGGAAAAGAAGCCAGTCAAAACATTAAAACTATGCTTCTCTATCGATAAGTGACTCCACCTTCTTCTCTGTGCCATGTTATTGTAAGCGCGGCAGTGGAGGAACCTGTGTACCTTTACCTTTGTCTGCTGCTTTTCTGCAAACAGTCATAAAGTTCTCTGACACAGTGACATAAATCAAGTTGCAGGGATGACTGGCGGCTGAGGCAGCTCCTCTTTGATCAGGCTTTGTGGAGACGCCCCATGTCCTCATCCTCAGCTGCTCCGGCAGCACCTGTTTACTAGTTCAGGCCTGTCTGTTTGGAGAGCAGCGCTTAGCCTCTCAATGTCACAGACTCATACATGACGCACAACATACACACAAAGGAATTTGGCTAGTGTTCGAGGGTGAGTGGGTTTTTTCCAACATATATGCTCCTAATGCGCTAGACCCATACTGATTCTTGGCACTTGCTTCTCTTATTAGCCAGCTGCTCTAAATGTAAATCTGTCGCCTTTTGGAGAGTTCTGCCTCCTCTGGCTGTACCACAGAAGAGAAATAGTTGGTGCATCGTGACAACTAAAACAGCTTTGTTGCAGCTGAAGATGTAACATGGAGTAAGAGGGATATTGAAGAAAAAAAACTTTACAGAGAGAGCTGCAAGTTTCCTAGACCAAAGTGTTATCAGAGAATGCAATGAAAGCACCCTTTCATCCCTCAAGTTTTTCTGGTACACAAATCCAGAGTTCTGAGGATTATGGTTGAAGGAAGTGCGGGTGGGCTTCATGTTCTAAATCGATCTATACAGCAAAGAATGTAGGGCAATGAGAGAGTACAGTATATTTGCCCAATCTGCAAATATAACAGTTTACCCCTCAGTCTGCTGTGGAGGCAGTTGTTCCCAGCCACTGCTGAAGGTGAGAGTAATTACATAAAAACCTGGCAACAATGAGTTCTCTGCCTGCAAGGCGGGGGCAGGGCACTTTTTCAAATGCATAATGAACTGCCTCGCAGGCCCTCTGCTGATCAAACAAGTGTTTGATAGTGGCTTTGGTTTGAAAGAGGGCTGAATATGTTTATTTGCATGTGGAGAAGTGAGTGACTTTGAGGTGGAGATCAGGCAGATTAGTGTTAACTGACGGAGACCTGTGCAAACAGACACTCCCCCTGCATGCAAGCAGGGCAGCGGCACACTTCCTCAGAGGACTAGTTAGGCTGAATTTAACATCAGACAGACCGGAGCGTGGTAACTCCTGCTACTTTTCAGACATTGTTCTTTTTATGCCAGCCTCCTCCCTTAAGCCGTACTCTCTCTTTCCTCATAAATGTTGGCTTGTTTGGTTTGGTACGTGTGAAAGCATGCACACTGATAGCTGGAAAACTGTTTGAGAGATGAGAACACCAATAACTGGCGGCTACTCATCAAAGACATTTCCATAGAATTCATTTTGAAAAATCCTTCAGAAACCACACATAACACACTGAAACACAGTACACAATAATAGTAAGACTTTATTATTAAAGGACCAGTGTGTAGGATTTAGTGGAATCTATTTATTTTAGATTGCAACTAACTGAACAGCATTCACGTCTGTATTTGACAACCTGGGAATGAGAATGGGCTGTGAAGTGTGTAGAAGAAACTTTGGAAACTTACAAAAAACACGAAAGGCCTTATCTAGAGCCAGTTTTTGGCGTCTGTTCTGGGCTACTGTAGACACATTGTGAACTGCATCGTCTGTGGATAAAAACACCTCATTCTAAGGTAACAAAATCACAATAATTCCTATAATCACTAATAAAAACATACCTATGAATATTATATTCCATTTATGCCTATAGAGCCTCCTAAACGTTACACACTGGACCTTTTAAGACACAAGAAAAAGGTTAATTGCAATAAAAACAGGCAAAAAATACAATTAAAAAAACAATAAATACATGTTGCATAAATAAATATGCAACTTCACATAATAAACATCAGCAAATTGCACCCACATACAATCTGGAGCATCAGTGGCTCCACAGTCTGGATGAAAACCAGACCCAGCTCTCTAGATCTAGATTGTCTAGATACCCAGGGGCGTATCTAGACAAATACTCCTGGGGTAGCAAGAGGAGACTTTAAGAAGACATAGTCAGGGTTAGGACTAGCACCCAAGGGCACTTATCATGTTTTCTCCACTGTTTTGTCCTCTTTAAGGGCACCCTGGAGGGCACTATATCATATTTTATCTACCATAGGGGCTTCCAAGGTGGCCCTTTTGCTGCTTTTTTTTTTATATGGAGACACCAGGGGGGCAATCCAGTGCTCAAAGGAATTCTTCTACATTTTGAAAAAATTTGCTCATTCACTTCCTTGCTGAGAATTCGATGAGAAGATTACTGCAAGAAAGTGAATGAGCATTTTTC